TATGTTTGTTTGTTTGTTTGTTTGTTTGTTTGTTTGTTTGTTTGTTTGTTTGTTTGTTTGTTTGTTTGTTTGTTTGTTTGTTTGTTTGTTTGTTTGTTTGTTTGTTTGTTTGTTTGTTTGTTTGTTTGTTTGTTTGTTTGTTTGTTGCATTGCACAGTGACATGTTTCTTGGATTTGTTCATGTTTCTTGTATTGTACTCGACAATTATTAAATGAACTCAACTACAACTAAACTCATTACCAATCATCTCACCAAACCTAAAAGCATAAAAAATCTAAATTCTTTAAAACACAATATATTTTAAAATTACCATGTAGTGAAACAAGATTTAAAAGTTCTAACGAAGTTCAACAGCTTTAATGCGTAATGTATTATATTCGTGTGTCTATTTGTGCAATAGAAGAATTAAAATAAACGATTCATATGTAATCTCCCAGCTTAAACGAAAAAGATTTGAAGAAAGACAATACAAATCGTCATCATAATGGCCTAAATAATAACCATTCGAGGTAATTGATGAATAACTTAAATGTAATTTACTTTTAAAATCTTTAATAAATGTAATAAAAATTCCAACCATTAACATTAACTTTTTACAACAAGTAAAACTAAACATTGAGTAACAACTTAGTATCATTTCTCACACACTAGTTCCGAAGTGACTAAACTGGATAGCTCTGTTAATTCTTAACTGTTCTCCCTGGTTTTCACTCGTTTCCAACCATCAAACTGACGTTAAGTCATTTGATCAATTTCAAAAGTTGATTCTTTTTGGATTTATTTTATTATTTTGGTTAGGGTTGGAGTAGGGACTGGGTTGGTTACATAGCCATTTAACACCTCTTCCGGAAATGACGTCACGTCAGCCGTTCTTCCTAGAGGTCCAGTAATTAAAGTCCACCCTATTCCTTTTATTGGTCTACTATACCAACCAGTGTGCTGCCTTCCTATCCCTAATCTAAATGTAATCCAACACCTAAATCAAATCCAATCTCCTTCCATTTCTAACTCCAGTCTTAATCTTCATTTTTTTAGGATCAGTCGTAACATTTCCGGCAAGATAGTGAATACCAAACGTCCTCCAGCCCCGGGCCGACCTAAACCAGGACTTCCACCAAGACCATCCTTACCAAAATGCCGCACACTGTACGCGTATGACGCACAGGATACTGAAGAATTGAGCTTTAACGCCGGGGAAGTTGTTGATATCTTGAAAGAAGGTTTGTTGTGTTGTGTGAAATACATCGTTGTTTACCATTTATATGCATGGTTATGGCTACGTTTCCACTATACCTGATAGCTTTCCGTAGCGGCGCGAAAAAGCACCTATCCAACACGGTTTGTGCAACTTTCAGAAGCTGAGCGAAACAACATCTCTCCGTTGCAATAATTCCTCTGAAAATAGCGTTCCTAAAAGGTATGGATACGTGTTTTTTCACGTCGCTACGAAAAGCTATCCACCACAGTGTAACCATAGCCTTGAACTCGAATTCAAAATTGGAAAATCCCGTCGGCAAAGCATGCGCGTTTTATTTACTCAATACGGTATCTGAGACCTCTGATCTGAGGCATACGCCTGTATGCCTCAGATCAATGCTGTTTTTGAATAGCTGGAGGGTGAGTAGTCGCATAGTAAGGTACGACACTAACCTTACAGCTATTCAAAAATAGCACTGCCACTCAAGGGAAGCTCAGATTGAACCTCCACTCATTGAGTGTGAGTGAGCTTTTAGAATACAGGCGATAGATTTCGATAAATACTTACAACGCTTATTATAAATTCCAATATGGCGGTTCCGTAATCAAAACTTTCTATCTGATATTTTCAGAGGATTCTGGATGGTGGACGGGTCGTCTACGAGGAAAGGAAGGACTATTTCCATACAATTATGTGGAAAAAATCTAACTTTGACCCACAACGAATTGAATATACAATGTTGATCGCACTTCTCATTCATAATTTTGAAAGTTTTCGGAAAGGAAAACAGCACGTCAGAAATTACCAGGCTGGCCGGGATGGGAAACCTCCTCATATAATCACTCACTATAACTGGGCCTTGCCCAAAATGAAATGGTTTGAAATTTCGGCAACCATTGTGGGAAGTATTGATTTACCGTCACACAACATGATACACAAGCAACTTCTGGCAATGCAACGATTTTCCCAGCAATTGTATTACTTTCACCAGAAAATATTGCCCGTGGAACAATTTGTTAATATTAAGTTAATTTTTTTGGCCGTTGCACAATAAAAACTCTTTGTAACACTTCTAATTCAGTCCCAGACCCTCTTCTGACCGCAACCCGCGGCGAAGTAGCCTACTTCAGATTACAATTCAATTCTCATGAAAAAAAGAAAAGTAAAATATAGTTCGTTTCTATTTCATACGTGCGCGAATTTTGCTAATTTGGGCGGTGAATAATATGCGCACCACGCATTAAAACTATAGCTTAGATTTTTCATAACCTTAGTCTAAAGAATTAAATATTTTTACACAAAAATAACTGCATGTATACGTTGGACATTGTAAAATAAATAGTAATTTTTTAAAATTGCAAATTGTCTTTATTTTATATACACCTAGCCTGCGTAGCAGTCGCTATTTAGGGGGGGGAGGGCGAAAAATGGAAGGGGCAAGAAAGAAATAGCTATTTCTAATATACACCAAGTCCACTGTAGTTTGGCCGAGCCTGAAAAATAGCTTTTTGTCACCGATCACATCATTCCTTGCCTCCACGTTGGTACAGCCCTAGAAACAATTGAAAAATACATCGTGTATCAGCAGGGGTGGAAACAATAGGCGAGCACTACTCGCAGGGGATGTTAAACAGCTGCAGGAAATTCGTTTGAATGAAGATTTGCTATTGAAAATTTGAAGGAAACCTTAACACCCATGTCCCACCATGGGCAGAACAACATATGATTCAAACATCTTCTCGTCATATTACTTCAAACGTCTTCTCGTCAAATTTTGCCGCTGTGATCGCAAAGGCTGATCTACAGTACACTGCACAACTTTCGCCTAAAACTGTCGCATACAACCTGCTTACAACTGGAATTGTACTGTGTGTAAATCAAGCACTCAACTCACGACAACGTAGGCAAGTTGTGTACTTGATTTACACAGTACAACTCAAGTTGTAAGCAGCTTGCAGGCGACAGTTTTTGGCAAAAGTTGCGTAGTGTAATGTAAATCAGCCTGAAACCAATCCGTACCTATGTGGCATATGCATGACTGGTCCACTAGATCCTGGATTTGGAGTCGCTTTCTTTCGTTCTTTCAATCCTTCTGTGAGTTTCAATAATCTGGAGGGATCTCTCTTCGCATGCACTTCGACCTGGAAAATTTGAAATTAAAATAATTTCTTTATACACATAGTCTGACAATCCGATAAAAAGATGCCGTCAAAATCTCGAGGATAAAAGTAAATTATGACAATCATACCTGACTTCTTAATTTCTCCAAACGTTTCTGCTTTTCCTCTTTTTCTATTTCTTTGCTTTGAAGTTTGATTTTTCTTTCTAGTGTAATTTTCTCATTCTGTAAAAATGCAAAACAGCATTAGATACATCTGCCTTCACCTTTCTATCCAGGGAGACTCTTGCAATATGTAGTTGTCGCTTCAGCTTTCCTTGTTTCTTCCTGTAGAAACACTGGATTACTGGAGCTCTATCTAGAGAGAACAGTTCAGACGTGACAGAGCTATCCAGAGGAGGAAGCATACCTTCTTCTGTAATCTAGCAAGATCAGTACTTACCCTCTCCTGTAATCTAGCAAGATCAGTACTTACCCTCTCCTGTAATCTAGAAAGATCAGTAGCGTTCAGTTTTCTATTTTCTCTCTCCATTTCTTGACGATGTTCTTCTGTCATTCTAAGTATTTCTCTCTCTTCCTCTCGATGACGTGCATACTCTTCCACGTGACTTTTGATTTCTCGCTATATGTACGATAGATGAAATAAATTAAGGCTGATTTACACCACACAACCTTTGCCTAAAACTGTCGCATGCAACCTGCTCACAACTTGAGTTGTACTGTGTAAATCAAGCAAACAACTCATCTACGTTGTCGTCAGATATCTTATATACACTATAGATAGTACATCTAATTATTCTGCAATTCAAAAATTGAAGCCGTGATTGCAGTCTCAGGTCGTTCCCATGAAATGAGAGAAGATTCGTATATTTCCTATTTCTTAAACAGGGAACTTGAATATTAAGTTAACCCTATTCCAAATACATTTTTAAAGTATTCAAATGATGAAAGTTATTGTTGTTTTTAAGCGTTTATTAGCGAGTGGGAACGACCAACATGGCCGCCATCTATTCAAATGGGGGTAACCGCTGGAATATTCTTGGCTTCAATTTTACTAAAAGAGATGCGTTATCTAGTGTATAAGATATCTATGGTTGTCGTAGGTGAGTTGTGTGCTTGATTTACACAGTACAACTCAAGTTGTAAGAAGGTTGCATGCGACAGTTTTAAGTAAAAGTTGTGTAGTCGGCCTTTAGTTGATAAAGCTAGGCATGCTCAATACTGCCACACCATAAAAGGTACTGTAGCTTGAAAAGACGAAAGACTAGTTATGATATTTCCTGACTCCCTTGTGAGGTTTTTGGTTGAGGGCCTTAGATTGGCTTCTGTTTTATTCCAATTAAACACATCTGAAATTTATAATTTGAATGAAAACCCTAACCCTTCTTTTGTCTTCTTTCTCTTTGTTTTTAATCGCTTCTAACTCCAATCTCGCTTTCTCCTCCTCTTCGCTGGCTTTTTGCATTTCTCGTTGAGCCTTAAAAGATGTGTATTAACTAATTAAGTACACTGACCTTCAAATATTAATGAGTAACGTTTTATATGAAGTGAATTAAACTATAGAAATGATGGTACCTTCCATTCATCAAGTTTCGACAATCTTTCTTGTCGTTCTTTTTCAAACAGTTCAGCTTTTCGTTTCACTTTTTCATCTCTTTTTTCAGTTTCATCTACATTTGATAACTTCTCTATTTTCTCAGTCTGCGCAAAAAATATTTCGTTCTCATTAGAAAGGAAAGTAGCAATACCCAGCATTCATCACTCGAAGCCACCAAAATAAATTTTACGTTTACCAGTGTCAGGACATTTTGCCAAAAATGTTGTAAGACTATGTTACAGGTACATACGTAAAAATCTCACAACTTGAACTTGTCAACAAGATGTGTTCGCAACAGGTTTGTAGGTTTGTAGCAAGCTTGTCAACAAGTTGTAACAATGCTGTTATTTTATCAAGTTGCTACAAGGTTGTCACTCACAACTTCTTGACAAACCGTTGAATTGCAGGACAATAACAAGTTGTTGCAACAACTTGTAACAAGTCTGGTGAGCTCAACAACCTTGTAGCAAGTTGTCAACAAGCCGTTAACAACTTGCCAACAAACTGGGAACAAGCAGTGAGAACACATCCTGTTGACAAGTTGTTGGAACAGCATTGCTACAATTCTGCTGCAGATTTGTTACAACTTGTGCGTTTTTACGTGTGTAGTTGGCTCATGACAAACCGGGTTCATGATCTAACGACCACTGTAATGGTGTATGCACATTCTTCAAGAAAAGTAAACTTACGTCTTTATGATATTTCCACTCCTGGATCGCTTTTCTTTTCTTGTCTAACATTATTAAATATTCACTGTACCAATCATCATGCTGCCTCACATCATCGTACGATTTGCCTGGCAGGTTGCTCAATGCAGATTGGATAAATGCATCTTTATCCTAGGGAAACGTTTGTAGAATATTTAAAATATAGACATATTACATTGGGCCTGTATTCAGGGTCAAGAAATATCATGGTCTGCTGTACCTTTGTTTTATTGTGTTGTTTCAATCTGAGATACTCCTGATGATCGTAGTCATCCCAACCCCCCTGATGGCCACCAGTCTGTGCTAGAAAACGCTGGAGAAAAATAGAACCAGGATGGATTGTTGCTTTGAATGGTAATATATCATGAAGAGAATCCAGAGGTAGTACATGTTACTTCTTGAATGTGGGCTACCCTAAAGTGATCTGATGTTGTACAGAACTCACTGCTGAGTTAAGCATGGTTAGATTATGCAGAGGTAGTACATGTTCTTGAATGTGGGCTACCCTAAAGTGATCTGATGTTGTACAGAACTCACTGCTGAGTTGAGCATGGTTAGATCATGCAGAGGTAGTACATGTTCTTGAATGTGAGCTACCCTAAAGTGATCTGATGTTGTACAGAACTCACTGCTGAGTTGAGCATGGTTAGATCATGCAGAGGTAGTACATGTTCTTGAATGTGGATTATGCTAAAGTGAGTGAAGTAGTCTTACTTCAAAAGCAGCAATAGCAGGAGGCAGTGAGCTAGATTGTTTGCCAGCTTTCTTCACAGCTGTGCTAGACTCCACTGCCGCAGCAGGAAGTCGAGACCAAGATTCAAATTTCTTTTCTGATGCTGTTAGTTCTTGCATGATCACTCGCTCATCGCGAAGTAATTCTTCAAATCTGTGATACGAAAGGAAGATGAGCAAAGCACAACGTGCAAACAATCCAGCGAACTGTGAATACACTGCAGACTACTTGAAACAAACTGTACTTTTATGATTCATTTAAAAAATTATGCTTACTTTTCTCTCTGTTCTTTCTTAAAATGCATAATCGAATTCTCAATATCTTCCATAATTTCTTTCAATTTTTCAACAACTAAATGCAGTAATTTATTGATTTATTAAAGGTTATTTAATCACAACAATATTCAAATGCAATATAGTCGAGAATAATTACATTTAGGTGATGGTTTCACATCTGTCAAACTTCGTTGAAGTTTTTCCACATTTATTTTAATTCTTGTTAGCTGTTGCTTTAATTTTAGTACTGGAAAATTAGATGATTGAATATATTTAATAACTTACGAAACTATTCAAAAATCTGGATCAATAAGAGATGATCCTTACTGGACCTCTAGGAAATAGAACTGATAGAGCTATATCCAGTATAAATAAAGTTAGTTTAGGTTTCCTCCTGTAGTAACACTGGACCAATAAGAAATGATCCTTACTGGACCTCTAGCTAGGAAGAACAGTTTAGAACTGATAGAGCTATCCAGTATAAATAAAGTTAGTTTAGTTTAGGTTTCCTCCTATTGTAACACTGGATCAATAAGAGATGATCCTTACTGGACCTCTAGGAAGAACAGTTTAGGACTGATAGAGCTATCCAGTATAAATAAAGTTAGTTTAGTTTAGGTTTCCTCCTGTAGTAACACTGGACCAATAAGAAATGATCCTTACTGGACCTCTAGCTAGGAAGAACAGTTTAGAACTGATAGAGCTATCCAGTATAAATAAAGTTAGTTTAGTTTAGGTTTCCTCCTATTGTAACACTGGATCAATAAGAGATGATCCTTACTGGACCTCTAGGAAGAACAGTTTAGGACTGATAGAGCTATCCAGTATAAATAAAGTTAGTTTAGTTTAGGTTTCTTACTGTAGTAACACTGGATCAATAAGAAATGATCCTTACTGGACCTCTAGGAAGAACAGTTTAGAACCGACAGAGCTATCCAGTATAAATAAAGTTGACTTTGCTTTACTAAAACACAGGATTTCTGTGGATGTAGCTGCATATTTGTATGCCAAGACATGTTCATTAAAACAGTGCAAAACAGTTACTTTCTGCTTTTCCACTTTTTCGATACTGGTCATTCAACTCTTCTAAGGTGAGAAAATCTTTTCGGAACTCGCTTCTCTTGCTAAAGATAACACCATTGCACTCTTTCTCAAGACCGACAGCTCTGGATAATACAAAATATCTTGATGCCGAAATCTATCATTGATACAAGTTACATAAATGGTGAAAATGTGTGAAAGAAACAATCATGTCAGCTCCTTGATACCAAAGAAATTTTGTAAACTGTGAGAATGCACCCTGGTAACCAATACAAATATAGGTCATTCTGATGAACAGGTGGGATGAAGCATTTATATAAAACTTAATTTGACTGCAGGGAATCAATCTTGCACAAGGTAAGATCTTACCCAGACATGCTGGCTCATTTTTAATCAAGCTCAGGTGAATTTCATAGCCAGGTTTAATCAAATGGCACAAATCATCAAGGAAAACCCTTCAAGGCAGGGAAAACTACATCCACTTATGGACTTCCCTATTAGCCAATCAAATTGTCTATTACTTAGCAACAAAGTTTCAAAATAATCACAAAATGATTTGTGTGCTATGATTCATAACAATCAATATTATTCTCATGTTATAAGGGTTAACTATTAAGTATTTTCTATACCAGCCACCCAGAAAGTGAACACAAATCACGCTACCACACAGAAAATATCGGATTTGCACAATTAATATTAAATACAGGTTAATTTTACTTGTGTTCCAATTGACGCGATTCTTCAAAAAACTTTTTCTTTTTCTGCTGTTCGGGGAAACTTGAAGCACCATGGGTATCTCCTCCTTCGTTCTTCATAGTTTTTCGTAAGTTTTAGCGAATATATTCTTCAAAATCACAACAAAAAGTTCATGAATATTTATGACCGCTCTCAGTCGGCGGCCATATTGGAAAATTAAACGCGCTGCTTCGAAACTGATCTCAGATTGCACCAAGGATTGCACTGGACTGCGAAACGCTTTTATATGACAACCTAGTGCAAAGTCTCGGAAACTATTAGTATCTCGGAATAAAAGAGTAATAAAACTATAAAAGGAGAACACACACTATCAAATAGGCAAGTCAATTTAATTTTAAAATGTATATTTTATGACATATTTTTACTATAATACACATTAATACTATAAGTCTATACCCTGGCCTATACTGACCCTTGGGCGCGTTTATTAACGTAGTACATGTCACAATACAAGCGACATCATCAGACTAAATACAACTGGAAATACAGTTAAACCATTAATTACACTATTTTATACTACACTATAAATGTGCAAATAAACAAAGTTGTCAAATATATACACTACTTAGTACTTAGATGTGTACCATAGTCAATAGTCGGAGCCGATAGAGGTATTCACTGTTCCCAACCTCGCAAGCCAGGATCTTTTTACCTGCGCTCGGGAGGTTGCACTGTTCCGTGCTAAAGTTGCGGTAGTGGTCGCATTGCCATTGCAGCTTCGACACTTCTTGGGGAATTGCTCAGTTGGTTGTGGCAGACGAGACAGATTCCAGATCTTTCATTGCTCACCGTCAGTTGTACAACTTGTAATTTTAAGTTGTCATTTTCTTCTCGTAATTGGGCATTCTCGTCTTCTAACTCTCGCCGAGCTTCACCGCTCCCCCTTTCGATATGAAGTTTATACTCATTTGGAGTAATAGTTAATAGCTTAATCTTCAAATGTTCGCCCATAGTTTTCTTTCTTGAGTGCTATAAAGAAAATTATCGACCGTCAATACTTTAATTGGTGTAAATATATAAATGAAGTGTTCTACGGTTCTTACCTCCTTAATACCTTGAGACTGTTTTGGTGAAAATGATCCTGACACAAGTTTTCTGCATATAATATTCACAGACGCAATGCGCAATGTCAATGGTGATTGGTTGAAGCAAATTTTCAGTCAATTTGATTGGATAATGACTGGATCACGTGCATTGCTGGGGAATCCATCATAATTCCTTATGTTGTCGAAAAGCTGCGCTATTTACAGGAAGTGTTCTGCTCAGAGGATTTTTGTGTATTTAGGCACAGTTTAGGCATGTGCTAAAACCTGGACGATGGACTGGACGATGGACGATGGACGACTTTTATTTAGCTACAGCAGTTTCAACAAATTCAGTCTCCAAATTCAGTCTCCGGCTATCACTTCGTCACTATACTATCAATTTGACACACCTTAATGACCTTACTTACTTACTTACTGAAATTCAAGCGTAGGTAGAAGACCCTGGCTTGCGAGGTTCTCAAAAGCCATGTTCAACATCCAGAATCTGGATGTTATGCTGATTGGCTAAGAGACCTCAAGCCTCCTCCGCAGGCAACTCTGTTATTTCTGTCACATCAGTATCACAATTCACAAAGCTCACAGAGTTGCCTGCGGAGGAGGCTAATTCAAACCGGAAATATATGACCGGCGTATGTAAACACCAAAAATAGAATTTGTAATTTTGTCAATAAACTGAAATTCAAGCGTAGGTAGAAGACCCTGGCTTGCGAGGTTGACTGAAATTCAAGCGTAGGTAGAAGACCCTGGCTTGCGAGGTTGACTGAAATTCAAGCGT